CACAGGCACACTCATGCACATGCATAGGCACGTGGACCCAGCGCCCCCATGTGCCACGTTTGCACATGTGCACACACACAGGCACATGCAAGATTCGCCACAGAGCTTATCCCAGCATATCCCAAGAACCTAGGCTGGAGGGGAGACCTGGGTGTCCAGACAAGGATACTCTGCAGGGGGCTGCATGAAGCAGGAGGAGATTGGCCGTGGCAGGAGGCTGTGCAGAGGGACAGCCTATGCTATCCTGACTGGCCTGTCTCCCCTCTGGAGCCCTCACTCGCTTGCAGCCTGCAGTATGTACCTGGGTTGGTTTCGGCTACAGTTTCAGCCACCCTTTACCATGGAAGAATGGCCCCATTCAGGCTGCCTGCTCTCTACCCCAGGCAGCTTGCAACCCTCTCCCACCCAGGGCACAGGGGCCTGAGTCCCTGGCCTGCCACTTCATTGCAGTGCCGGAGGAGGAGGTTCTGTGTTCACAACGTGCAACAAGGACGTGGGACCCATGTCCCGTGGGTCCCCTACCCCCATGGATCCCACACGTAGCGGGGTGTCCTTGAGCCCCCCTCTGCCCTGTTACCACCCACCCCTGTCTCTCACCTGTGGATCCTGGTGCCCGGCCGGGGGGCCTCTTAGGTCAGGTCACCTGCAGCCTGGCAGAGGGTTTGGCACCAGGAGGAACCATTCAGTCTCTAGGGCAGTTCTCAGGAGGCCAGAGAGGGGGTGCTGTGCCCTCCTTCCTGAGCATGGTGTCAGGCGGGCGGTTCCAATTCCTCAGGGGGCAGCCCCTCTCCTGGGTGTCCAGAGACACCTGGACAAGACCCGGGACGGCAGGAAGGTGACCTCCCAGGAGAGGGGCCACCAGGGGTCCAGCAGGCACACCTCAGGGGTGGGGAGACAGAGGCCAGCGGGGAGGGTAGAAGGGTAGGGACTGGAGACAAACGCAGGGGGAGGGTGTTGTGTTGGACCCAGAGGACCCCACACCCAGAGCAGGTGGACAGACAGATGGACAGGTTATGTCAGTGCTGCTACTCAGCGCTGGGCTGAAGCACAAGGGAACTGCTTCTGGAAGAGGCTGCAGGCTTAGGGTGGGGGAGGGAAACCTGGGTGTCTGGCAGGTTCCCTAAGAGGAAGCAGAGGCGCCCTCCAGCTGGCCAAGGGCCCCACACAATGGAGGGGGTCACACCTGGGGTAGAGAGACGGCAGCCAAGGCAGGAGCCTAATGCGTGCATAGCCAGGCGAGCCACGCTGCCAGCAGCCTCACGGCCTTGGCCCGCCGCCCCAGAAGGACACAGGCCTTGAGGTGATGGGGGAAGAACTACCCAGAAAGAGGATGCCTTTCCTCACGAGGCAAGAGGAGGAGGCGTGCTCTGTCCTGCCCACCACAGCGCCTGGCCCCACCCTTGCTCCATTCCAACAAAACACACTCCTTTTCCTCCTACGAACTTCAGGATATGGTTTTATTTGGCAAGGGTCTTTGCAGATATACTTAGTTACCTATGTGTATGTGCGCTAAGTGGCTTCAGTCATATCTGACTCTTTGCGATCCCATGGACTGTAGCCCGCCAGTCTCCTCTGTCCATGGGATTCTCCAGGCAAGAATACTGGAGTGGGTTGCCATGCCCTCTTCCAGGGGATCTTCCAGACACAGGGATTGAACCTGAGTCTCCCTCCTGCACTGGCAGGCAAGTTCTTTACCATGAGCACCAGCTGGAAAGCCCCTGTGATTTCAAGATCAGAACATCCTGGACTGTCTAGACATGCCCTATGTCCCATGACAGGTATCCTCATAAGAGGCAGAAGGGGAGAAGACAAAGAAGACATGAAGATAGCCACATGAAGATGGAGGCGTAGACAGGAATGATGTGGCCACAAGCCCAGGAATGCCGGGAGCGCCAGCAGCTGGAAGAGGCAGGAAAGATCACCCTCTGGAGCCTCCAGAGGGAGCTGGGCCTGCCCACATCTTGATCTCAGACTTCTGGCCTCCAGAGCTGGGACAGAACAGATCCCTGTCACTGTAAGCCATGTCTCTCAGCTTACTTGTGGTCATCTGTTATGCCTGCTCCCCTAACACAGGGAGCAAAGCAACCCAGCAGTCCCTACACTCCTTCTCCAGGGCAAAGCGTGGGAGAGTCCGTCTCTGTGTGGCACTTTGTTAGAAGCAGGGGCCTGGGGCTCACTGCGTGAGGGAGTGCTGGGACAGAGGCCAAGCCAGATGGAGCTGGGCACCTGGTCCTCCAGGACCAGCCAGTGAGCGGGTCCGCGGGGCCACTCGGTGACTGGGGACCTGGGATACGGCCTCTGCACATGAGAGCTGCTGCCTTTCCGGATGCTAACCGGGAGCTACCGCCCCCTCCCACCTTCGGGCAGGGCTGGGCTGGACTCGGTCTGCGAGAGACCCCTTTACTCCACAAACCCTCTCACCTCTCTGGGCCCTGCTCCTCCTCCAGGCCCATCTCCCCAGGGCCCCTGGGACCCCTCTGAAGGCAGCCGCGGAGAGGAGGCTATAATTTAAAAATACATTTATTTAGTGTTTCCATTTGTTTCTGTTCTGTTACACAAGGCCATTAAATAAATACATTCTCCAAGTCACTCGAGTACACACCTACTCACTATACAGATGAGGTAGAGAAATCGATAGGCTCACACAAGACTTCTCTCGTGTGTGAATGCCCCTCTCCTCCCGCCCGCCTCCACCTGGCCTGATCGAGCACGCTGAGCAGAGAGCAGGTGGCCGGGACCTGCCTGGCCCCTCAGCATGGCTCTGCCCCTGCAGCCCCGGGGCTGGGGGTCTGGACCCCACCACAGACGTGTGTTCTTTGAGAGATCCTTTGCTGCACAGACAAGAAGCGTGTTAATAAGAGGCTCCGTCTGCGGGAGTGCTCCTTCGTGTAGCAAGACATTCTGATATATATTTATGTATAAACAAACCAGCCAGCAGACGTTTTCAATCTGCTTTGTTTAAAAAAATACTTTTCTTAATATTTATGACATAGAGCTAAATGTGGTATTTGACTTAGAAAAAATCCTTCCTCTGACTTGCTGCCCTTCCAACCCAGTAGTGACCGAGCTACAGTCTTGTCATAGAAACATAGCCAGCTCTGCCTGCTCCAGGCCCCAGCAGGTGGGAATACTTGGGGACAACTGGGACGCGCCCCCGCCTCTCCCCGCCCTCCAGCCAAGTGTGGAGGAGACCAGGCTGCAGGCCTGCGTCCCCCACGGCCACAGAGCCCACCCCAGCTCCCTCCCAGGGGACATGCCTTGGCTGCACCACTGTCAGCACGCAGTTCTTCACGGGGACGTTCTCTGAACCACAGGAGAAAAGACTCAACTATTTACACTATAGAACAGGGACAAAGAGACCCACATCCACATAAATAGGTTTTCTTTTACAAACACAGTCTCCAGGGTTCCTGAAGCCCCCCCCTGGACTCCGAGGAATCCCTTCACTCAGTAGTTCCCGCGTCCACACTGCCTGCCCCAGCTCCGTGCCTGCCCAAACCCCAGTGCACACCCTCTGGGCAGAGTCATAGAGCTGAGCAAGACGGGGCCAGGGCTAGAGGCCCTACCAACATGGGCAGGAGAGCTCCACACCTAGGAACAGTGCCCGAGCCAACCACTGACCACACCCACACACAGGCACACACAGGCACATACACCACACATGCACAAACACACGCACATGGTCACACACACACATGCACCCACATACATAATGCACACCCATGCAGACATGCACTCTCATGCACGAATACACACCACACATGTGGAAACATGTGTGTGCGCACACACAAGCATGCATCTGCACTTATACACAGCACATACTCACAGATGGACATTCATGCATTCACACAAACATGCTCATGCACACACACCACACACTCATGCATGCACACACACATGCACACATGTGTGCACACACCCTCAACCACATCAGGTCAGTGATGGCCATACTTTTCCCTTCTCTGCAAAATCGACAGCATGACCAAGAACACTTTCCATTTGCCGAATCCTATCTCCAAACTCTCTCCACCCATGTCTGCCCCCACCCTGCCTCCCCTACAGTGACAGAGGACAAGCTGTGCCCTCCTCATGAAATGAACCTCCAAGAGGCTGGCCCTGACCCTCTGCCCATGCCCACCTCTGGGGGAAGAACAGGCCGCCTTCTGCCACCCCCAGTCCCAGAATCTGCATTGAGGAGTCTCGAGTGTGGATCCACGTGCCCTCGGGGTGCAGAGGAGGGCCCATCCACCTCCCTGGTCAGCCTTGCTACGGGTAGCCAACCTGGACCATGGGACCTGGCTTCCAGAAACCCTGAGGGTGGTGGCCAGACACAGCTTGCTTTACTTCTTTAAAAACAACAACAGCAATGTCTCTCTTGATTTAGTGGTTTCAAACGACAAAGCAGATCAGGCAAACAGGTCAGGAGGGGGTTCGGAGGGGAGGGAGGAAGGGGCTCCTCCAGACCAGGCTCTGCTGAGAAGGGGAGGAGCCACAGCCTGGGAGGCTGCAGGGACGGAGAAAATAATATTATATATTAGTTAAATAAAAATAACTTAAAAGTCACTGATACTACTCCAAAGAGAAGTACGTGATGTCAGAGGGGCCAGCGGAATACCCCCCACAGTCGGGCGGCCAGGCGCCTGCTCTCTCTCCTAGTGGTTTGACTCTAAGCCAGTGCTGCTGCAGGTCAGCCCACACAGAGGTCGTGTGGTCACGAGGTGTGCCCGCCGCTCCTCAGAGGGCACCCAGCGCACAACAGGCGGCTGGTGACTTGGGGGGACACAACTTAGAAAGCATCCGTGCAAAGCTCTCAGGTCACGGGGCGGGACAAGCAGGGAGGACGCAGGGGTCAGACTAGGCCTCTGAGAGGCGGAGCTAAAGGGCTGGAGACGGCCCTCTCAGCCAGCCCCCAGGCCTCTGCCCACGCCCTGCAGCCAAGCGTGCTGGGGGCGCCCAGGCCGGGGACGCAGCCCCTGCAGCAGCCTGGCCAGGCCCGGGGCTCAGCCCTTGCAGGTGTAGACCTCCTCCCGCTGGGTGCACTGCCTGCACTCCACGTAGCAGCACCAGCGCACCTGGCACTGACAGGGCCGGGTCACCACCCGGCTCTGCGTGTTGTGGCCACGCCCGCAGCAGATGCTCTCGCAGTTCTTCTCGCGGTGGCACCTGCGGCCGGCGGTGCCGGGGGAGAAGCGGCCGGCCACGCAGAAGCTGGGGGAGTCGTCCAGGTGCACCAGCTCTGGTGTGCGGGGCAGCGGGTCGCCGCCACCCGGCCCGGCGGCCCGGCCCCGCGGGGCCGAGATGGCGCCGGCCTCGCCGGTGGCCTCGTTGGTGGTGCTGCCCACCTTGAGGGCCGTCTCGTACTTGTGCTTCAGGCGCTTGCCCACCTCGTGGAAGGGCGCCAGCTGCCGCCAGCACGTCCGCACGGTGCACGAGCCGGACACGCCGTGGCACTTGCACGTCGTCTCCACCCCGGCCTTGATCACCTGGCGAGAGTGGGGGAGGTGGGCGTGAGGCCCCCCTGAGCAGACGAGACCAGCCCCCGAGGCAGCTCGCAGAGGGGCTGGCGCTGCCAGACCTCACGGCCAAGCGGGCCACCACTGTTCATCACCCAGGCTTCCTGGCTCCCACAAACAGCCCTTCCTCTCCAAGCCATGGGTCACCCAGGACAGAAATCCCACCGCCAGCACAACCCCAGAGGAGCCACCACAGCACCTGCACCACCGAGGCGCCCCCTTCCCATCCCCATATCCCAGGATGTCCCCCGCCAGGACAGGGCACCCCTCCCCATGAGCCCTAGTGTCAGCGACCCCAGGACCACACAGCCTGTCCTCAGCAGTCTGTTCCTTGAAAATTTAAGGACAAGCAAGTCAGTATGCCTAGTGGACAGAACTGGCCACCAGAGTGTACATTCTGAGTTGACTATGTCTCTGCCTGGGCATAGGGACCAGATGCAACTGCATGTGCAGGCACCAGCTGCCACCCTGCTGAACGGAACTTGGACAGAGGGAGAAAGCCTCCAGCGAGGAGCAGAGAGGACAGGGCTGCACCCACCCCCGCACACGGCGGGGGCAGGCGCGGCCCAGCACCAGCCTCCTGCTCTGCATCTGGGGGGCTGCCCAAGACTCAGGCTGGCCCTTCTCCTCGCAGGACTTGGGACCCACGTGCAAAGCCATGGAGTCAGGCCAGCTGTCCCACAGGGCCTCCTGCCTGACTTCCCACACTGGGGTCCCAGGAGGGACGTGGGGAAGAGGAACGGCAAGGAAGGGGGAGGTTCCTCTCCCAGTGGGCCCCAAGCCAGGCCTGAGCTCCCACACAGCCCCCAGGGAGAGCCAACTCAAGGGGGATTAAGAAACATAGCTGCCCTCCAGCCAGGCAACAGAAGAGTCACATTTAATGATACTTTGCTGAGAAACCCGGACAAATTTAATTAAAACGTGGCTTACCCAGGACCAGTGGAGCTAATGGAGCACTTTCATATTCTGACTTTTCATTAATAGCTCACAAAAGGGCGAGTGCAGAGGAAAAGAAAGGGCCTCCCCTGGGGGATTTAATCAGCCTGCACCCCTCCCCAGAGGGTGGAAGGACAGGCAGAGCTCCTGTGGCAAAGGGGGAAATTGATTCTTTAATAAGCCCATACCTCAGAACCCTGGCTTCTCAATAAAGAGGGGCTCAGAAAGGGGCTGGTATTAATTACCTCATCACCCCCTCCAGCCCCCAGGCTGGGACTCCAAATCCCAAGGGCTGCCCCACAAGCACGCAGATCCCACTCCCGCCCCTGACGGCCCCACAGCCCAGGCTGAGCCTTGGGAGGCATCCGATTGTCCAGGCGGTGCAGGGGCCAAGAGGGTGGGGTGCTCTGTGCACAGTGAAGGTGGTGGGGCCCGAAGCCTCCTCCAGGGTGTGGGGCTGAGGGGCTGCCGGGGGGCGGGCTGGGGTAGAGAGTGGCTGCCTGCAGCAAGAGAGCTACAACACTCCTTTCTAGTTTGAGTCCTCTGTTTTGAGTTTCCTCAGAACAGAGCTCTGGCCACAGACAGGGCCCCTGAGGCAGAAGCAGCCTCCCCAGCTTGGTCCAGCCACACCCCTAGCATTTCCCCAGAACGCCTGAACTGCACACTGACCCATCTACCATTCACCTAGGTCCCTGGTGACAGGACCACCCACCCCTCAGCCCCAACAGGTAAGGTCTAGTCCAATCTCCACCTGGTTAGGTGGTGCCCAGTAGACGAGACCCTCTTGTGGCCTTGACCACCCAGGACGCCCCTCCCTGCTCCCCAGCCAGCAGCAAGCAAGACTTCTGGCTCTGCCCAACCCTGCAAGACCTTGAGGCACCCCATCCACAGAGCTCCCCACGACAACTAGTACCCTACCCATTGGGTAAGTAATGAGCCTTGTAAGCAGAAGGGCTGGAGGCCCCAGCTGTCCCCAGAGGCTGGAACAGACATACCATGGCAGCCACCTTCACCTCCTCTCCGACCCCCAGCCCTCTCCCAGACTGGTGCCCGGCCCCTCAGCCCCAGCCCCCCACCCCTTAAACACATGTGCACCCTGCCCACCACCTGCACTTTCCCACGCTGAGCCCCAGCGCATGCTAACTGCACCCACACCATGCCCTGCCCTGCCCCGGGCCCTGGACCCTACACCCTTTCCCGCCCCGCGCCCCGCCCGGCTTGCCTTCACACCCACGAGGTTGTTGTGGAAGTCCACGCGGGCTCGCAGATCCTTGCTAGACCGCCGGCCCAGGAACTCCTTGACGAACTTGCTGCTGTACTTGAGGTTGTCTCCGCAGCCGCCCCACTGCCAGGCCTCGCGGTTCTCCAAGTCAGGCGCCTCATCGCAAGTGCAGCGTTCCATGCGGCCTGCACTGCAAGCCTTGGCCAGCGCGTGCGTCAGGCCAGCGGAGGAGATGGCGTAAAGGAAGGCTGTCTCCTTGAAGCCTGGGGGTGAGAGCAGGGGCAGGTCAGTGGGCCGGAGCGGCCCCATCTCACTCGGATGCAGCCAAAGCACAGTCTCCCCGCGCACATTCCACATAGAGCAGGGTTTGCGGGAAGGATCCTCCAGGGTGCGGGCCACAGGGAACCTGGGCAGACATGCACTCCTGGGGTTCGGAGGTACCCTCTCATGCCCCAGACACAGGACCGCTCAGGGGCAGAGAACGCGGATGTACTGCAGCCACAGCGGTGCCCAGCACTCGGAGACCCCATCCCTCTGGGTCTCGAACCTACTGGACTGGCCAGGGGCCTCCATAAGCCTTACCATGCCCTGCGCCCCAGGTCCCTAGGTTTCAAACAAAGCTGTTGAGAGATTCAGATGAGAGTCCCCCTTGGCACCCTCATACGGAAGGAGACACGAAAGAGGAACTCCACGCTAAGAACTAGGGCGCCAGCTGGACCCCTGCCCCTGCGTCCAGGCACTCGGCCTCAGTCCCGGCCATGTGGCAAGAGCCGTCAGAGCTGCCTCGGGCCCTGTCACAGCTGTCCACATGCGCCTGTGCCACCAGCAACTGTTCCACGCAGGTGTGAGCGGGGCCAGGCTTTGGGGAGAGGGCAGGAGGTGGGGGGGGGGGGGCGGGGAGCTGCGGGTTCAAATCCCACCCACCGCCCAGCCACCCGAACTCCGCTGAGGAGCCACATGGGGACGCCCCCGGCTGGAGCCCCGCCCCCCGGCGCCCATCCAAGGGCCTGGCACACTCACCTCGCTTGAGGAGGCTGGCCCGGTAGCGGCCCTCCAAGGTGCAGTTCCAGCGTTCAAAGCGGAACTGGTACTGGCACTCGAGGGCACTCATGCTGACCGCCTCCACCAGCGTCTCGGCCACACCCGGGTCCCGGCGGCACATGCGCCGCTGCTTGCGCTCCAGCTTCAGCCGGTCACAGGCCTTGTAGTGGGCCTGGGCAACTGCTTCCGGCTCCAGGGTCAGCGGGAGGATGGTCAGGGGCTCACTGCCCGTCAGCCTGGGCACACAGAGGCCAAAATGAGCCCTGCTCCAGAGGTGGGAAGTCGGCGCTGGGTGAGCTGCTGCAGACGCTGTGGCGGCAGCAGACCCCGGCTTCTGGAAAGCATGGTGGCAGCGGGACGGGAGTCCTGGAGGGCAGGAAGGGCAGCGAGCCCGGGGACAGGGCTAGGCAGGCCGCAGAGACCCAGCAGGGGAAGGGGTGAGCCCGGAGGACCCCTGCCCACCAGGCACGTCTCTGCGTCCGCTTGCCCCTGCCGACGGCATAGGGACCCCAGCCCAGCCCCGTGTGCGCTGGGTTCTCACTCGAGCTGCCCCGGGAGCAGACCCCAGGCACCCCCGTGGCTGCTGAGCGCTCCCCAGCAACACTAGTCAGAAAGTAACACCCCAGCTGGCACCCGCCTCCCGCCCAGGTCTGATGACAGCGGAAGGAGCAGAGAGCTAGAAACTCACACACACACACCTGCGAGGGCTGCCCAGCCCGGGGCACTGGCCAGAGGCACAGACGACCAAGGCAGGGAGGGGACGGGAGTCACAGGCCGCGTGAGACGGACACCTACCACACCCTCCGCCACCCACTCCCGTGTCTGCTTAGGCAGCTTGCTCCAAACCTCCAGCCTCTGCCATCTCCAGCTAGGGGTGCCCACCCAGCCCCCCCCCCGGCCCTGCAGACCCTTGGGGGAGGCCCTGCTCCCTCTCTGTCCTCCTGCGGCCTGTGCAGTTGTTCCCCATGGTTCCAGCCGGGTCTCCTGGAACACATGCACCAGTAAGGGCTCCCAGCCTAGGACCCGAGCGGCGCTCAGGAGGGAGCTGCTGGTTTGGGGCACCTCCATCCCCCCTCCTGGCTGAGCCAAGGCTGGAGCCGGTCTCTGCCGTCTGGCCTTCCTGCCCTAACTCCTTACCACCAGCTCTATCCAGGGACTGACCGGCCCTGGCCTTCTGCCTGCTCTGTGCAGAAGCACGGGTCTCAGTGTCCCCAGACAGACAACTGCACATCTGAGATCCAGATACGTCCAAGTCAGCCCCACCCAGACCTTCAGCCCTTGGAAGGGAAAAGTGCCCACCTGGATGCGAACGGGGCTCAGCGCCCCCTACTAGAGCATCATTAGAAACAAGTCCACCCCCCATCTCTCACGCCAGCCAAACCCAGGAAACAGGGCTGGCAGGAGTCCACAGATACTGGAGCCCCACACCTGGCCCCATCCCCACTGCTGCTGTCCTCCCAAAACTCCCTCAGGGGAACGCTGGCCCTGGGCTGACAAAGAGAGCTGCAGCTTTCTGCAGGGGACAGGGTGTGGGTGGGGTCTCCAGCTGCAGGGGCAGGGAGGTGGGCAGGGCCTCCGAGACCCCACCCTCGAGCAGACGCCAGCACTCAGGCAGCAGACTGAGGCTCCTCTGGGGACAGCCTGGGGCACCACATTTTGTAGTTGCACACACATGCCTCCGCAGGCCCTGCCCTGCCTCTTGGAGAGGGGCATCGCTGCATGTACCCTTAGGGTAAGGGTGGGGTCTTGTGCAAAGCAGAACCGGCCCTACTCTGAGACCCCCAGACCCCAGGCCCTAAAGGAGTTGCCCGTCTCAGCCTCACTGATCAGCTCCCTGAGAACAGGAAAGCAGGGTGCTGAGGCCCAGGCAGCAGCTGGGCAAGGCAGCTGCCAGGACTCCCGAGCAGACTGGCCAGGTCTAGGGGTGTGAGGCAGGAAGGACCGCTACGCCCCGCCCCTGCACACCTAGGTGCAACACGAGCAAGGCCATGGTGGGCACCCTGAGGAGACCCACCCCCCCGCCTTGGCATTGCTCCCCACAATGCTGAGAACTACTGCGCCAGTGAGCAGAGGTGGCACCTGCTCCCGACCCTGCGACTGAGGGTGTGGGTGAGCAGCAAGCAGCGCTGCCAGCTCGAGTCTGTGCTGCAGAGCCTGTTCCTCTCTCCGTGAGCAACACTTGGAAGCAGGAGGCTCCTGGGTATGCACTGGGAGGCCAGCGTGCGTGCTGGCTAGGAGAGAAGCTCCAAAGGTCCCTGAGATGCGGACACTTAAGAGCAGTGGGAATCAGAAGCAGCGAGGCCTTCAGGGAGAAGACACAGGAGCCCGGAGCTGGGACAATGCATCGGTGGGATCGCGGCCCATGCCAGCCCCAGGCCCTGGTTACCTGCACCCCTCACCGAGTGTTAGGACGTCATGCCTAAAAAGACGGGGGTGGGGCAGAAGCTGACATCAGAGGACGGCTCTGTGGACTTCCAGGCCCCGGCCTGAGGACAGCTGCCACGCCAGGGCAGGGAGCAGGCAGTGGCCCGAGCACCCGGGGCCAGGGGCCGGGAGAGCCCCACTCCTCACACAAAGCCAGCCCACACGGTGGAGACTTGTCCCCAGACAGGAATGCTAACAGCTGTGCCCGGAACTGCGTGCCACACAGCTAAAGCACTGTAGCGTCCCACCAGCACATCCCCCAGGCTGGATTCTCCCAGATTAACCGAGCTCCCACCACTGCCAAAACATTCGGCATCCAGGAGGACCCCGACTGCCAGAGCCATCCTGGGGGAACGTAGGGCAGAGTTGGGAAGGGTAGCTGTGGGTGTGGACGAGGAGAGGGAGACAAATAGCAGGTGATGCTGCCTTCCAGTTCTCCAGGAGGCAGTGGGAGCACCTGTGTCCAAATTCTGTGCATGGGGAGGGAAGTCAGGGCCTCCCACCCACTCGGTGCTAGCCTGTGTCCACACTGCACATGGGGAGCTGATTCAGGGGTCCCCCACACCCAGGGCCAGCCTGCAGAGCTACAGGTAGCTTCACTCCCATCTAACGTCAGCATGTCCATCAGGGGGTCAGAGGCGGCTCCGTAAACACAGCCACAGGCAAGCGGACCCTTTCCTGAGGCCAGGTGGTGTCTACATCTGTTCTGGGCAGAAGGATGTCCAGGACCAGGAATGTCCGTCTGGCAGCCACGTAGCCACATGGCTGAGGCCGGAGGCCCAAGGGCCAGGCCTTCCTCTGAGCCACCACCCAGTTCCCATGGTGGGCATGAGGCTAGGACCCAATGGGGCAACACTGCTCCATCCCCTGGCACCCTACCTCTTCAAGGAGGGCTCCAGGGCCCCTAACAATCAGGGTGGACACGGTGTGGCCAGCCTGTGAGCTTACAGCCTGGAACACAGCAACGGCGGACAAGGCCTCATGCAGGTGCTGGAGTAGGGGTGCGGGGACCATGTGTGGGGTGCAGGGAGGAGGACGGCCATCAGGTGAGCTGGGCTCAGCTGAGAAGGTGCCAGGGACAAGCAACAAGTCTCGCAGGACAGAAGCCCCGCCACAAAGAGGACCCACAGAAGTGCTGGAGGAAAAATGAGAGGTTCATAAAACATTCTTCGAATCAGGAAGGCCTTTATCAGAGCAACTCAGAATCCGAAATGCCTTGAAAATTTAATACATTTGACGAAATATACAAGAATCTCTGCACAGAAAAAAGTAGTATAGAGCCCAAAGACCAACAGACAAAGACCAGGGAAAATGCTGCATTCAGATCCCAGGCCAAGGGCCAAATTTCTTTGCTTGTTTGTGGGTATGTGCATGTGTGCACACAGGTGTATCTTTTCCTCTAGATCAATAACTAAGGGATTAACTGTTAGCTGAATACAGGATATGAACGTACAGTTCAAGAGAAGGAAATACAGCTAGCTATTAAAAACATTTGCATTTCACTCAAAAAAACACAAAATAAAACTATATTGATCAGTTATTTTTCATTCATCAGATAAGTGCAAATCAGTATCTGACAAGATAATGTCAAGGACACAGGGAAAGAGGTGTTCCTCCTTGGCTGGAATTCTGGACACACCTACAAAAATTCACCACCAATCTCTTTCTAAAAATACAGCCTCCACATATTAATATGTTATCTTAAAATGTACAGGCAGGGACTTCCCTGATAGCCCAGTGGTTAAGATTTCACCTTCCAATGCAGGAGGTTGTGGGTTCAATCCTTGATCAGGAAGCTAAGATCCCATATGCATTGTGGCCAAAAAACCGGAAGCAATATTGCAACAAATTCAATAAGGGACTTTAAAAATGGTCCACATTTTTTTAAAGTACAAGTCAAAAAAAATTTAATATCAGCAAGAAGAAAGAAACGTACAAGCATATGTCACTCATGTGTTACCCAATGCAATGCTGCTTAATCACTCAGTCGTGTCCAACTCTGCGACCCCAGGAACTGTACCCCGCCAGGCTCCTCTGTCCATGGGATTCTCCGGGCAAGAACACTGGAGTGGGTTGCCATGCCCTCCTCCAGGGGATCTTCCCAACCCAGGGATCGAACCCAGGTCTCCCGCGTTGTAGGCAGATTCTTTACTGTCTGAGCCCCCAGGGAAGCCCAAGAATACTGGAGTGTGTAACCTATCCTTCCTCCAGGGGACCTTCCCGACCCAGGAATTGAACCAGGGTCTCCTGCATGGCAAGAGGATTATTTACCAGCTGAGCTACCAGGGAAGCCCATGCTATCATGCAGAAACACTGAAAGTGCTGATTGTTTCAAAGACTGGAGACAGGCTGAATGAATGAATGGGACCCGTCCACTCCGGTGTTCAGCAGCCCTCAGAGGAGCCACGGCCCGCCTGCTGTGCACACTCGGGGCACAGGTGCGGGCCTCAATCTGCAGAGGATCTGTGTGCGCACGTGGGAGTGCCCGGGGTAACCCAAGATGAAGATGGCTCAGGGCGGAGCAAACCCGTCCTTCTCCCCACGGCCTGTGAGCCACGCGCATGCTGGCCCGTGCACATGTGGCCTATTCGAAATGACCAAGTCCAAACCAGGGGCCTGGAGAAGCACCCCCAGCAGGCTCTCAGCCCTGCAGCCCCACACAGCCCGTCTCCAGCCCAGACAGCACCCAGGGCACTCGGCACAGCACAGCTCCTCCAAACACCCAGCTGTTCGTACTGGTACGCCTGCCACTGGGCCCGACAGAGCTGCCCCTCCCACCCCTGATGTCTGGCTGAGACAGGTGAGTGGATGG